TCACAACTACAAATGTTTCTCACCTTGTGCTTCTTTCTAGGTCACTGAAAGGTGATTGTGTATCGGAGAGTAAAGGGGCACAAGTACTGGTTGGTGTGGCCCACTAAACCGCTGTCTGATAATGTTCCATTTTGCCTTTCTCCCTTCCTCTCCTTCTTATTTTGTGAATCTCACCCCTCTCATTCAGCTTTTCTGGAGCTCTCATATCTATTCCAAACAATAAATCATAAACTCTCACAGTTTAAGTGTTCAGGATCTTCCTTCTGCATTTTTGTCCCTTTTCTCTCCCTTATAAAACAGAGCCCTTGCAATAGCAAACTGGGGAAGCAACCAATAAGGGGAGATATGTGTTTCACCGGAGGAGAAGGAAGGATGGGTGTATGTATTAAAGCCAAAAAAAGTCATCTGGAGATGTTTAAGTTGGACAGGCCAGTTTCCGGTGTCTAAAAAAAACCCAAAAATATTCAGAAACAGAAAAATCCAGCAGGAGGGGAAAGGATACACCTCCTCATTTCTCATGTGACCGTCCATGTTCGGCAAGCTAAGCTGAATTTTGGGCTTGCAGCATGACTTATGGTATCAACAGAACGGTTGAAGCCAAGCACATTAATATTCAGTTGCATCTTCATATTGCTTAGTGTCTGTGGAGACAGTTATTTTGATGATCCCTACACATTTAAGATTCTGAAAAACTGAATTGATGACACAGACTTTGAAAAGTTAAGATAATCTTTAGACAACAAATGGTTGCATTTACCTTATCCTAGCAACTTAGTTTAAGGTGTATTGCATGCATACTGTATATGTGCTGAATGTGGCCTCACACAGCTTTCATAACATGGGGATTATTGGTGTTGTAATATAATAATAGAGAAACAGGCTAGCCTACACTTGCTGAGTCTGTCAAAGACTTTACCGACAGTGAGTACAGTCTCAGTCCTGCCTTCACAGCACACAGTAGTATTTATGAGATCAAAAACTGGACTAATTTTGTTAAATTAACAACTTGTGGTTTCAACGGCTGCTGCTCCAGCTGTGTAAGGGGAACACAAGTGCCCAGTTTAGGTCATACATAAAAACAGAGTCATTTCAACGGCTACAGTGGACTGAATGCCAAAAATTATTCAGAGGAGATGCAGGCCTATGTTCAGAGGTGCAGACAGAAGTACTCAGATTCTTTACTTAAGTAAAAGTAATAGTATCACAGTGTAAGAATGCTCTTTTACAAGTAAATGCCTTGCATTCAAAATGTTACATATGTAAAAGTACAAAAGTATTAGCATCAAAATATACTTAAAGTACCAAAAGTACTTATTATGCAGAAAGGCACTTTTCACATTATTGGCTTGTAACTGTGTAATTGTGTAATTGTGGGTAGCTTATGAATTTCTCACCAGTAATCAATAAAGTGTTATGATTATAGTGTATGTTATATTCTGAAAAGTAACTAAAGTTATCAAATAAATGTAGTAGAGTAAAAGTACAATAATTGCAAACTCCTACTTTGTTACATAATGGTTTACCATCCAATCATTTTAAGCTTATCTAAATCTTTTAAATCTATCAGAATATAATGTGCATAATGTAGGCCTAGTTTTTAACAGTACTTTTAAAGTAATAATATGAGGATAGAATCCTTCAGGGGAGCTAATTTTATAGGGGAGGCAGACTGTGATCACTGCTCCTTGTTATTTATCAGCGGTGCTCTGCAGACACTCATGCCTGTTTGGGTTTGTAAGCACTAACGGGGGGGTGTCTGCAGTTTCTCATGGCAGCGAGCGGCTGCAGAAAATTTCCCCTCTTCTCCTCCTCTCCCCGCCCCCACATCTTGCCTCCATTATTCCCGTGTTTTGGAAGCAACTCCGATGACAGCCAGATCCGTAGCTGGCAAGTGAAGGCAGTGTGGACTACGGGCGACCGTTCGCCTTGTCTTCCGGACGTCCCCCTCGCTTAGTGACCGGTGGTACGGTCTCCCGCTATCAGCACGTTCACATACCGTTGTGCATGGTGCCGGTAACGAGAAAGGGGGTTGGTCGACCGGGGCTGTCTCCGTGAGAAGCTCTGCTGTTTCAAGGAAGGATGAGAGAGTAACCACCCTGGGGAAACGCTTGTTATTTAGCGCCACTTATCATCTCTGGGTTGAATGGCGAGGATATGACGTTGAACAGCCGTAAGGTTTCGAAGATACCGGGAATTCACAGGGGGCTGCGTCGCTTCTAACTAACTAATGGTCACTAACATGGATGCTGATGTGCCTCCTCCCTTAGGCCGGCCGGGAAAAGGGGTGTTTTTTGGTTATTTTCTGGCAGCAACACGACTCTTTTCTTTCTGGGATTAACAATTCGTTTGTTTCCTCCTTCTTGGAGCCGGTTTTTGTGTGGGAGCCTCGCAGACAGCGTTTGTTTGCAAGGTAACTAAGTAGTGATAACGTTACTGCCGTCGCCAGCACTGAACAAGCATCAGTGTCTCCGTGGGTGTGCGTGTGTGTGTGTGTGCGCCTGCCTCTTTATTTCTGGTGTCAGCTCCAGTGAAATAATGAAACATTGTTTTGTACTGCAGTGTTGAGTTACATCCTTTGTCTTTTTTACATCACCGTTTCTTGCCAGTGAGTCAGGCCTGAGGATGTAGGTTAGCCAATTCAAACCTGACATGCAATGGGTCAGAAATGTTGGTGGGAAACATTCAGAATGAATCACTCCCCAGGACAAAGTGGTGCAGAGTGCCACATGCTTTTAGCATCTTTCTGTCAGAACTGCATTTTAATGTTACGAGAGCTCAGTGTGGTGCTTTTAAATATATCGACACTGCCATGTTATAAAGTCTTCTCTCTTGGCAAATAATGTGAAACTGTCTGGCTAAACTTTCTCATGGCGCTGCAACATTACACAGAGTTGAAATGCTCCTCATTTTCTATTTTTCAGCTGTTTGATGACAAGAAGCTGTTAATGGAAACTGTATGGTGGATAAAAATTCAGTAACGTGTCCAATACCACAAACTGTATTTTATGACAAAAGCTATATGCGCCTGTCACTGGCAGACAGGACTGCCTAATTTTAGCCTCTAGGCAGTGATTTGTTATTTTGACATTAAGGTCTGTACTATTCCCTGCGTCAGTGAAAGTGTGTGTGTGTGTGTGTGTGTTCATACACTCTCTGCATTGCAGTTTAAAGTATTCTGCAGACAAGATACTTCAGTACGGTGTTTGGTCAATATACCTTGTCCTCCCTTCCATCACGTCTGGGCTCAGTAATGGTTTAGCCAGCAAAATGTTTTCAGAAACAGACATTTGCCACAACTTTTTAAAGTCTTTTTTATTTCCAATATGTAGGTATAAGGACTCGGATTTGCATCACTGACCTACTAGCAGTGACGGCGGCAATTAAAATCGTTGTATACAGTATAAACATGTAAAGTTTTGGAAAGATAAAATAATTCCAATACAGGAGAGTGGGAGATGAAAACAAAAGGGAGCGTATCAGGGTATGTCTGTGTACTTGGATGATTATACATTAGAACGACTATTGAGTTTTATGTGAGGGCATTTTGTCATGGACACACCTTCAAAGGGCTGTTTGAGGGTTAAGTGATTCTAGGGTTAAAGGTAAGGTAGGTTTAGGATTTAAGGTTAGGGTAAGGCCTAGGGAATGCATTATGTCAACGAGTGCTCACAAAGAAAGCTGTACAAACGTGTGTGTGCTACTGACTGTGTGCACAGGTGCACCCAATCTAAGCCCTCCAACCACAGGAGATCAATGGAGACTGGGAGGGGAAACAGCACTTCAAAGTAGCTAAAAGCCACACACACATACATCAGTAGTCATTCATCAGAGATCCAATACGGATGACTGTTGAAGCACACTTCTGGTGCTTATTTCCCTCTAGTTTTCTGGCATTTTCAGTTCTCTGCTAAACTCTCACCTCCAGACTGCCACCCTCATGCAAGCTGGCATGAATGGTGAGAAAGTAGGCGTATGCTATACGTATGTTGTGCACACTCTCTTACCAAGTTGGAGGAGCCTTAGGTGGCCAGTTTAATCCTCATGGTGAGGAGTTACAGACCGGTTACACCTGTTCTCATGTTTATAGCATGTACTGTGTGATTTTAGAGGGAGTCCTTATCAAATCTTTCAAAGAGGATGTCTCTCTCTTTTCCTCCCTAGTCACTCTTCTCCAACATTTCTAACCCCCTTTCTCAACCCCCTTTCCTCATCTCCCAGATGTGAGGGAAGTGTGGGAGGAGCCAGGGGGTGTTTGTTTTCCTCAGGGTCCCCGCTTCCTGTTAAATTGTGGTGAATCTCCACATGTGCTGAAAGCACTAGTGCAAACAAACATACTGAACACAGACATAGTCTTGTATTTGTTTCATGCAGTAGCTAAACTTCAGACAGGTTTAGAGAAATGGCTTGGGTCTATCTGTCCTATGAAATGTGTATGCAGTGCATCTTTCCTACATTTGCCTGCTTCATCATTGCACCTGCTTCAGTGTTTACACCTGAACTTGGCAGATGGATAGTGCCAGTTTTTTTTTTCCAGCTCCATTCTGCCTTGTATCAACAACACTGACAAACACCTGAGTGAACATTGTCAGTAGGAAGCTTCTCTCACTGTAGTCCACTGATAGATAATGGATTTCCTGCTCAAGGAAGAATGCTAGACATGTCCAAGAGGAAGAGAGCTGCACAGGACCTTGTCTCTATTAGCCCCTTGTGTGTAGTGTAGTGAGCTCAGTTAACCTTAAGATTTCACTGAGATACCACACAAACTTGCACATTCCAAGCTTAACATACAGCACCTCTCTCATACTAACTAATATGAGGATGCATCAGTTTCTTGTTTGTGTGATGGACCTGTATATATGAGTTGTTTGGAGTTTACTGCATATGAATGACATTGGTAGAGGCCCACACACACATTTGCATTTGATCTGTATATAATATGGAATATATGTAACCAGTTTATAAACACATATTAACAAGCGTCCATTGTTATTTTTTCTCAGATGACAGAGGGGAGGCGATGTCAGGTCCATCTCCTGGACGATAGGAAGCTGGAGCTCCTTGTACAGGTGAGGCTCTCTTCCTTCCAGCCCTCTCTCTCTTTCTACCCTCTTTCTGTGCACACTCATTTCCTTAGAGCAAGGCAGAAGTGACGTTTAGGGACTCTGTTACTGCTGATCAAGGGAAATGTGTTCAGTGGAAGGTGACTGTGCACTTTCTTGATGCTCACCTCTCCACACACACAAAAAGACACATGGGGTGTGTGTGCAACAGACTGTGCCCTAATTTGCTCTCCCTGTAGGAACTATGCATCAAGACAGAGTTCAGTCCTAATGATGTCCTAAACAAGATCTCTTACTCCCTCTAAACCTGTGCCTCACTGCTTATCTACCTCTCTATCTGTGTTAAATGGAAATATATAACAGTTTTCTACACATTCACACACACGCAAACTCAGTGCACTTTATACTTCCCATTAACACACACACACGCACACACACACTGATGGGACAGCCTAGTGTCTTGCCCAAGGACACTTTGACATGAGGACTGAAGAAGCTGTAGTGGCCATGGCATGTACACTACTTTCTGCTCAAATCTCTGCCGTAACACAGTAAGGGTAACAGTGTGAGGGAGTCGAAACATTGATCCATTTTTTGTTATTTCATTCATAACTGAAAATATATTTTCACATTCAGGACCCAAAGAAGTATCTAACATGATATCACACACCCCTAAAGTGGTTCCTCCCTAACATGAGAGTTTGTCGTGGGTGACAGCACCTTACAGAGTGACTTTACCTGTTGGATAAGTATATCCAAATTTATTGAGTGTACATTATACAGGGACTAGTGAATGAGTGACCAGCGTATGACTGGCCAGCTGTTTCTACTTTCACCTTTGTTTTTATTTGTTCAAGTGTTTCCCCAGTGTGCACTAGTGAGTAGTGTGAGTGATTTCGTACACAGCCATAGTCTGATGAGGTCTAATGAGGTCTTGCGAGCTCATCACTCTGCCCACAAGCCCTTCCGTTGTACCAAATCCTTTTTGCAGTGTTTTCTGTTTGCATGTGCTTTGACTTTTGCTTGCGCTTTTAGATTTGCAGCCTGTTTCCAGAATGTTTGTGTTTTCACATTTGTTTGTGCAAGTTGCACAATAGCATTGCAAGTTTTGCAGCACTTTGTACCTAGGGGCTACACTCTATATAGTGCATAGTAAACCTGGTTATAGACGTTTTGTATAGAGATGCACCAATCGCAATTTTCTGGGCCAATTCTAATTTCAGTTTTTTTATATATCGAACCTGCTGATTCCAGTGTTCTTTCTTTCTTAGAAGTGTAATTGACAGCATACACAGACATTGTTGTAAATAAATGTATTAAAGTTCTGCATTTCTGTCTTTCTCTCATTCTTTTTTGCAAACCTCCAACTAAAAATGAAGTGCAATATCTGTACTTCTACAAATATAAACAGGTGCAACAGGTAATAGAAACAGAAGAATGTCTGTTACAGTACTACTGAGCACACAGTTCTTTTTTGAAGTGTGTGGAGTTTGTATTTGCTGTGTTTTACCACGGTTTGGCTGCAATGTACATATACATGCATTTCATGTGTAGCCAGTAATTCCCTCACTGTGTACTGTTTGTTGGAGATTTGAATGTAGTTTTCCTTGTCCAAGGTTTTTCTGTAGACTCCGCTATGTGGTGTTTGTTCACCAAGTGCTTGAACACTTGCCAAGTACAGACACGAGCTCAAGTCTTGTTCGAGGTGCACGTGAGATGCTACACGCTGCACATGCTACGCTTTTGGTCTGCGCCGCTGCATGTGTGATGTGAAGTGTCATGCCTCTAAATCTTAAAGGCACAGAATCAGATACCTTAGAATGGTCGGCCGGTCATCGGTCAAAGACGATTACGCTGAAAAACGTCCATTTCTGATTTCTGCCGATCGATCGGTGCATCTCTTGTTTTGTAATGTCACATAGTAGCATAATGTATTTTATAACACACATTACATTAGGTTTTATTTCATTGTCTGTACATTATCAGGACTGTGTGTTAACTTTTCCCTTCACTCCTTTTTGTTCTTCATTGAGTGTTGATGACATTCACTTTGGTCACATAAGACCCCTCTGGTGGTTTGGCTTCAAAGACTGAAAGAGTTTTGTTATAAAATCCTTCCACGAGAGAAGTCATGACCAAAAGGCTGGAAGAGAGGATGTCATTAACAAATCATTGTAATTTAAATCAAAATCCTGCCATCCGTTCTCAGTTTTCTCCGTAGGCCAGTGAATTTAAGACCACAGAGAATTACAATGTTATTCTTAGTTTTATACTAAACTAAGAAGTCAAATCCTCTGACCATTTGCAAAGGATTTTTTGAAGGGCTGATCAAAATTCATAAGCAGTGTTGTGTCTTTCAAGTATTAAGGCACTACTCTATCATTACTCCATTGGGCTATTTCATGTCTTCACATCATTTAACAGCTATGTGGCCAAGTTTGTCCTGTTGAGAATTTCATTTCAGTTCTTTTCCTCATGCCAAGCGCACCAGCCTGCGAGAAAAGCCCGATTCCATTTCTGGCACTGACTTGTGACATTGACCAGCTGTTTAATCCCAGAAGCATCATTCAGCTTTTTCCACTTCCTTATCCCCTTCCTCCTAACTTTGATAGCGTGTCCTCTGTGGTTATTTTTATGGCGCAATGCCTCATTGGCAGCGAACTATGTGTCAGAATGTCTGCACACCTATGGACCAGGTTGTAAAGATGGAAGCTAACCACCAAATACATCAGGGGGGTGAAAATATACCCCAGTAATATGACTGTCACTCTCTATTGCTAGAGTGGTGTAGAGTAAAGAGTGAATAGGTTGTGTAACAGTGTTGCTCTACCATACTGATGTTTATGTGAAGGACTCTAATTTGCTAAAACGACACTTCAAGGTTATACTGTAAGATCCCTGTTGGCTTACCATGAAGTGGTAGAGGTGCTAAAGCGTAAGTATTATTAGTAAACATACAGTATACAGTTTATTAGTTAAAATATTAAAACCAGACCTTTAGGGAAAATGATACAATTAATGGTGTGGCTAAAACCTTTCCTTATCCAATCTTAGACTCTTAAGTACTGACACTAAAATATCATTTAGTGTTCCATAAATTTGAATCATCCTGACGACACCAAGGGCCTGACTAACTGTTTGCTGAGGGTGGGCTGTTACCACCAGCCAGCCCAGTGAGTTGCTGTTGTGTGTTTGTCACATGTCTGTGGGTTTACTTTAGCATGTCTCTTCCTTACTTGCACCTCCCTGTAATTCTAACACTGTTAATTACCTGTGCTGCTGAGGAGGAACAAGCTAAATGCCTGTTAGTAGTAATGCTTTTTAAGCTGTGAGAGAGCTTTGCTGTCTGATAGATGACTCTATATTCTGTGTGTAGACCTCACTGCATACAGTATATGGCTATTGCCTAGATACAGTATGTTTGGAGTGTGTTTTCATTACTGTGTGTAGGTGTTGTGTGCCATATCACTTACTATACTGCCTGTCATTCACTGTCTGTATCACTGTTGGTTATTTCCACAACATTATTACGCCTCTGTTAGGAATCTGCCATCTCACAGAAAGCTGTAGTGTCAAGATGCCTGCTTGAGTGTGGAGCGGATGAGTTGTCACCACTGACTATGTATAAAAGATGGACAAACCAACCATGGCGTCACCTATTGGTTTTCTGAAGAGAGGTTTTGAGGCTCATGTCTGGCCGCTGCCATACTGGTAGTGCTACATCCGCCCAACCAAAACTTACACTGGCCCTTTCCTTGTTCCTTTTCATCTTCAGTCATGCACCCCTGATATTCAACAGTTTATATGTGGTTTATTCTATCTCCAGTGGTTTACGGTACTTTATATGTCTCCATGTGTCCCTGTCCCTTGCTTTTTAATTTTTTTTTTTTTTGCAGTGGTGGCGTGAATGTTTAATACACATTGTTGTAATGGCAGTTGGCTACTCTGTGGTAATGACAGACCACCACTTTATGTGTCTCAGACTGAACCAAAACATGTATTACTGCTAATACTTTAAAGATAGCCTGCTACCAGACCTAACATTTTCACATCTAAAATCTTTGAGCACCTCAAAGAGGCCTTATGTTGCTCCTCCATTTGAAGAAACAGCAGAGCCAGTTGGCGCCTTGGTGGACAGGAGTACCAATTTTTGCCAGCGTCAGATAGACATGGTCATACACATAGTTAAGGTCACCACTTGTAATCACTGCCACCTACAGTACATGGAACCCTATAATACATCTTCATGATTTTTATTCTTTGCTAAGAGAGGTGAGTTCTTACTGTAAATATGCATTTGAAAGTAGTAGAGTTCCAGACAGAATAATCTAGCAGAGAAGATACGTTGTTTTCTGTTTAACACTTTCACATCTGTCAGGGCCCCAGTCAACCTATGTGGTAGCTTTCTCTTTAGCTCTCTCTAATGCTTCTATTCTCTCTTGAGCTTTTCTGTGTGCCAGGATCACTGTAGGTATTGTGGTCATATGAGATCTAGGTCAGTGGAGATGTGTGTGTGTGTGTGTGTGTGTGTGTGTGTGTATGTGTGTGTGTGCATGACATCACCTTCTCTTGATATAGCTCTCAGTAGCTTTTGTCACAGAAGTTATATCTGGGCAGTTAGCAGATAGTAAAGGACCTCCAGGTGATTCTTAAGAATGTTTACACTATGGCACTATAGTGTCACTGTGTGGTGTGTGTTTGCATATTTAGCTGTACACCATATGTTTTCCTCTTTTCTCTACACTGTATGTACACAATGCAGCAAATGTGTATGTCCTATATATTGTGATTGGACTGCATGCATGCTGTTTATAGTATGTGTGTATTTGTGCATGCAGATTTGTTTGTGTGGGTGTGTGTGCCTGTAATGAAAATGTAGGCAGCGAGGCACACCCATGGTTAACCTCAGGGTGGGGCATGCTTTTTACACAGGATGTCACAAACCAGCAGCATATGGCACCAGTCCCTGGCCACTGCTTGGCTTTAAGATGCTCTGTGTTCTCTGAGCATTGTGATGAATGGAGCTTGTCATTACACAGAGTCTAGCTCAGACAGTATTCCACACTATTACCTAGCTATCAGGCTAGCTACCTGCAACCCTCTCTCTGTGACACAGTAGTTCAGCCCAGAGCTATGACTCTGCAGTAGAGGTATGGGTCAGGGAGGTGGTAAGGGAGAGATGGATGCAGGGGAAGGGGAGGTGACCTGC